TAATACTTTTAATTTTGTTCCTCCAGCCAACCTCTCTAATAATGCTTAAATACGACTGCATTTAATCATATGAATTTTATTTTGCCCTACTTCATTGTCATTACCCCCTTCTCGTTACAATCAAAACACAGAATAGTGGTCCCTGGGCAAAATCCCTGGTTGGTGTACTTGTTGCATACTAGGTACTTGTAGGGCTATGTTTCAGAGGAATGATCTGTCAAAACTACCTCTTGAATACCCCTTGCCTAAGAAAACCCTCTGAAATTCATGGGCTTGCAATAAATCAAAAGGCACCTTGAAGTCACATGCCCAAATAGGTTGTTAGACACCATGTAATTCACTCAATCTCTTGATTTATCAAGAGGAGCACAGCTTCGGGATCCCTGTAACCAGTATATCTGGTTTTGCCGCCTATTCAACAGTGCAAAAGCAAGTGTCTCTAGTTTGCAGGGCTATTGTTCATGGGTGATGGGCAGATTTTGAAATAACAGTGTGACACCACGCGGATGTTCTCAGCAGAAATCTGGAGCATAAAAGGGGACTTGTCAGAATGGGTGGTAGTTTTTTTTTAATTTGATGGTTTATATTTTGTCTATATTTTATACCAGTGGAACTTTATAAAAATGCAAACTCGGTGGAAGGCAAGGGGTAAACCACATCTGAATACATTCTTTGAGAAAGATCCCATGATAGAGATACCGTAAGTCTGAAATGACTTGAAGACACACAAAGATATCAAAGATAAAGGGGTGTTTGGGAGTAGTAGTCCTTACACCTGGAGGTAATCAGAGGTGCTTATTTGACAGAACCCTCCCAAAAGAACTATGAATATTACATGGCAGCAGAAGTGCCAGTGATGCAGATGATCTGAAAGATTCCCCACCATTTTCCCCTCTCTGGGCTTCTAACTTTGCAGAACTGCTGGTACAAGGCCATTCGAAAATAGAAGGTTGTCACCATCTCATAACTACTAGCAATGATTGTGGCTTTCCCTGTTTTTAACCATCACCTATGAGAGAAAGTAGTATGTCTCACTATAGAAAACGCAGCCATGGTCCACTGTATATTCTGTCACGAGGGCACACCATTTCTTGCTATCACACTGCTGTATGGAAAGTTTTACATATGGATTGTCTGAATTATTAAATGAGCAAAGTGGTTTTGTTTATTGTACTGGACTTGGACAAATGAGATTTGTCTACATCTATATGGTGGCCACAATATATAAGATGTGTAGGTAATGTGTGAGAAGAACTAAAGGAGCTTTTAATGGCCGGCGGGATGGTGCCCACCGCCGCAACGGTCCTTGCCCGGTAAGTCAGGCAAGGCATTTTTGATTTTAAAACCACAAAATCACTAAAAAGTTGAAGGAAGAAGAAGCCCCCTGCAAACAGCATGGCTGGCGGGAGGGCGCCCACTGCCGCAATGGCCCTTGCCTAGTAAGTCAGGCAAGGCATTTTTGATTTTAAAACCACAAAATGTATAATATCTATATAAATAAAAATGTAATGTTCGTTTGTGGGATTAACATAACTCATTAACCACTAGATGAATTGACACCAAATTTGGACACCAGACACCTAACATCCCCATGTATGTCCTTCACTCAAAAAAAAATAATTTTGTCATTTGCGAGTTGTAGTTGCTGGGATTTGTAGTTCACCAACAATCAAAGAGCATTCTGAACCCCACCAATGATGGAATTGAACCAAACTTGGCACACAGTTCTCCCACGACTAACAGAAAATACTGGAAGGGTTTGGTGGGCAATGTCCTTTGATTTTGGAGTTGTAGTTCACCTACATCCAGAGAGCACTGTGGACTCAAACAATGATGGATCTGGACCAAACTCTACACAAATACACAATATGCCCAAATATGAACACTGGTGGTGTTTGGGGTAAAAAGAATCTTGACATTTGGGAGTTGTAGTTGCTGGGATTTGTAGTTCACCTACAATCAAAGCGCATTCTGAACCCCACCAATGATAGAATTGGGCCAAACCTCCCACACAGAACCCCCATGACCACTAGAGTGGGCCACAGCAATGCGTGGCAGGGGACGGCTAGTATATATTAAAATATTAATTCTAACACTAAAAGAATATTATAAATAATAAAAAATAGATTTACAATAAATAGTATTGTAAATACTGTATGTGTGTGTCCCTACTTCGCGGATTTTCACTTATCGCAGGTGGTTTTGGAACGTAACACCCGCGATAAGTGAGGGAACACTATTCTTTAAATTCCTGCAAAGTTTTGCAGCAAAGCAACAACAATGTTCACCTCAAATTATATTCCAAAAGTGATTAATACTTAGATCTCCACTAATTTACTGTCATTTAAATTGCAGCATTTATGTCAGAAAGGTGACACACATGAGCCCAGCATACAATCAAATATGGACATGCCCATCAGTTCAACTAATTTCATAATACTGCACCCCAGTTCTCAAATAAGGTGGAACTGCAGCAGTTCCAGATCCATTTGTCTGGCTTGCCTGCCCATATTTTTAGAGCAGTTGCTTTGATGTTAGTTTTTTTGAGGGTGGGGTTTAGGAAAACCATTCCTAGTTTGTGTCAGCCATTTTGTTTGCCCTTTTTCCTGCGGAGAAAGAAGCAGTTTGTGTCAGTTAGTTGGCCACGCCCCTTTGCCTGAGGTAAAGGAGCCATTTTAGATCATAGACCACCAGGGAATCCTTAAGGCAGGACATGTCTTCAGTTGGTCCCAGAGATTCAGGCTTGGACAAGCCATTTCAAGTCAATACTTCACAACCAGTTATATTACCTGCAACCAGTTACTTCAGACCAGTTACCTACTACAACTAGTACTTCAACCAGTTAGTTAAACAACTGGTTAACACCTTGGGCACTGGGCGCCTCAGAGGCCTTTATACCAGAGACTGAGAGCAAGGAATACTGTCATTATTCTCCTCAGAAACATCCATGTCTGGCAGCTTCAGAATCATTAAGTTACCTCTCAAGTTTTAAGTATGAACTTTGTTGTGGGGAAATCAAGCTAGTGTCTGGGTGGAATTAGACCCATGATCTGTTAATAAATCGTTACCTTTTCCTCAAAGCAACGGCATGGACGTTAATTCTGTGCGGTCCCTTTTTTCAAAAGAAGACAATCTAGCATCTCCCTAGCTGACAGAAAGTTAAGACACATTGATACCAAAAAGACCTTAAAAGCAGCTTGGGTGCAATAGCACAAGGCCAGTATGGCATTCTCTCACATTATGCACTGCTTTGGCAAAATAGAGGGGCCCTTAAAATGTTTCATTTGTTGCAAAAATACTTATTTTGATGCAGTTGTCTTCTGGAATTTACCAGCAGGTAAGAGTAGATTCAGTCTGTAGTCTTGGTCATCCTTGTGTCCAAAACATTCATTTTTAATTTGCACATGTATGAACCACTACGAATAGAACTGTCATACCGATGTAAACACTAGTTGACACATTGAGCTGTCAGGGCTGTAAAAAGACAGGGCTATAAAAATCTTGTTTATTCAAGCACATCTTTATTTTTACAAAAATGCTATTTATTATGTTTGGTACCAACTATAAAGATTTTTACATGCTTTTCCTGAGTTTCATTCATTTTTTATTTCACTGCTTAAAAAAAAAACCTGTGTACTTGTAGCCAGTATTATGTTCTTATATATTTATTTCTGTCTCTTACAGCTGCAGTTTCTTCTGTTTAGGAAAGTGGTTGTCTCAGTCTTATTTTGGAATGTGAGCACACTGTAATGACATTGCAGGAGCCTCCAAATGAAGATTTGTTATGCTAGTGCTCTGTTTTATTCATAGAGTTTTACTGAGGTTTTACACTATGTCCTTTCTTCCTGATAACTCCTTTTTTTCTACTGTTTCTTTTATATTTTCCTTTCCCTCCCTCTCACTTGCACATATACATATATAGCTAGATGATCAACTTGTAGTATTTATTGCTTGTGGGGCATCCAAAATATAGTTTGTGAGCATTCAAAACATATATCCATCTAAGTTTATTGCTTATCTGAAACATAAATAATAGTTCTGACTCTCTCTCTCTCAAGCAAGGTAATCAAATTTGCAAGGCAGAAGCTGAACAAAAGCCAGCCTCAAGGCACCTACACATGTACATAGTTCTATAAAAGACACCGAGTAAGCTTAGTTTTCTTTATAAAACATGAGGCCTTACATTTATTTCAGTCAAGAGAAGGGTGACAAAATGATCAAAGACTTAGGGCACTAGGTATCTTTAGAGAAAAGAAGGTTGAGAAGGAATGTAATAGCCATGTTTAAATACTTTAAAGAATGTCACATTGAGGAGGTGAGAAGTTTATTTTCTGCTGCTCTGGACACTAGGATACTGCTCAATTTATTCAAATTGCAAGAAAGGGGATGCCACTTAAACATTAATAATAACTTTCTGATAATAAGAGTGTTCAGCAATGGAATATGCTGCCTTGGAGCATGGTGAAGTCTCCTTTCTGTAGATTTAAGTAGAGGCTGGTTAGGCATCTATTAGGGGTGTTTTCATTGTGTTTTCCTGCATGGCAGAGGGTTGGAGTGGATGGCCGCTTTCTATGATTTATTTTAAAATACTTGTGTATAATCAAACATATGCTGTAATGGAGAACAGAGAGCAAGATTGTGAACACTTAATATGTGGATTAATAGATCATGCCAGGAAAAGGATACTCTGTTCTAACAGTCCAACAATCAATTAAGGCAAAACTCTAATGCAGGTATTAATAAAGAAGCAAATGGGTGTTATGCTCTCTACTAGACGGAAATCAATTTTCCCTCAATTTCCAGTAGCTTGCTGTCAGAGAATATACAGATCCTTATACAAATTGTTCTTGGGAAGAGATAACTGCTTCCTATCTCTGAAAGCTGAGATATTTCAAGAATTAGAAAATATTCCTTTTGCCATGCCAAGAATGCACTTCATTGCCTTGTGTAGATGTACATATATATAAAAAATTGATCATTTCTCTACCTCTTTCTCACAGGAAAGATCTTTGCAATGGCAGCAGGAATCTTCCGGGTATGTCTGGTGGTTATCACAGCTATTGTCAACCATCCACTGCTGTTCCCAAAGGACAATGTGACTGTCCTTGAAAACACAGATGAAGTCATTCAGAAGATGAAAGAGCGGGAAGAGAACCTAAGGATGGAGCAACTTAAACTGGAGCAGGAGTTTGAAATGCAGGAAGCATTGGCAAAGTCTTCAGAACAGGCAACAGAGTCAGAAAAGCCTTATGATCATGATCCTCTTCCTTGGAACCTTTGGACTGCTTTGTCAATGGTAGTTTTCCTTCTGATTGAGTTCTGGAGGCAAGACTATCAGGAAGCAAACAGACCAGATTATGCCAATGAAGAAGATGAACTTAATGTCCTTGGGAAAGCAGTCAAGGGAGCCATCTTGCCAGACAAGGTCACTTTGGCCAATTTTTATGAGAGATGCCTCCAGACTGTAACCAGTGATATTGCCAGGAACCGAGAGCTTGTGGAAGGCTTTGCAGATGATCTTTTAGAAGCTTTGAGGAGTGTGTGTAACCGGGATGCTGACATGGAAGTGGAGGAATCCATAGGGATTGGGAGCATGTATGAAAACTGGAGGGCTCACAAACCTTTAGCATGTGATTTCATTGTGCCCTTTACTCCACCGGCACCATATTGTTTCCAGTATGAGACCTGGTGTTCAGAAGAAACGGTTGCACCTGACAAACAAGGCTGTGGTATGATAAAGATCAGTTGGGCAGATGAAAATTCAACAGGCTGCATATGTGACAAGACAAAGCTGGGGGAAGACTTGCTATGCCTCCTTCACAGCAAAATTAATCTACTGAAGCAGAATAATCATGTAGAGGATCTCCTTTGCTACAAAGACACCCGATACCTTGATGCTAACCAGGTCATGGCATGGTTCCAGGTTGCACTTACCAAGGCTTGGAATAAAATTTCCCACAAGTATGAGTTCAATCTCACTTTTAATCACATGGATGTACCTGGTGCTCTAAAAATCAGGTTCAGGTCTGGAAAAACCATTGTTTTTAACCTTTCCCCTGTGGTGCAGTATGCTGATTCTGATGTCTATTTCATATCCCAGTTCCAAAGCGATAACATAGAGGAACCCACTAGTAGCATTCACTGGTTCCTCACATTTGCAGTATGTGAGAAGAGATACATTCAGTTTGTTTCTAAAACTCTGCCTGCCAATTCTTGCCATCTTAGCTGTCTCCAGATTCTCTCCTTCCTTCATGGAAAACAGTGCAGTCTGACAGGACCAAGTGGCCTTACAAACTATCACTTGAAAACGGTCATGCTGCATTTACTACAGATCCATCCCAGAATGAACTGGGCCTCTGAATTCCTGAATGACAGACTACAAGACATGCTCAAATATTTGGACAAAAGCCTGCAAGAAAAGAGGCTTTACCACTTTTTCATTGGAAATAAAAATTTACCAGAGGAGTTGGGTATCCCTGTGGGACTCCAAAGGCCAGAACCTCTGAACCTCTTCCGTCCCTTTGTCCTGCAGCGAACTGTTTATAGAAAAACGATGGACACATTTCATGAGATGCTGAAGAACACAGCAGCTTTAATAAATGAGTATACTATGCATGTTCCCAATGGACGGGGAATTGCACTAAATAAGGATCTTCTGTAACTATATATGTGAAAGCTACTGTTGGGGCAGAGATTTCCACAGGGGACAAATATATGCATGCTTTGAGCTTTACAAAAGAGACCAAAGATTTGATAGAAGGGATACACTTCTCTCATTTTCTCCCAGTGTGGCTGCCTGGTATTTATGCAGCTTTTAATGTTTCTAATTACTGTAGATAATTTTGTTGTAAATAATATAAGCAAGAAAGAAGAGTGTAATTTATAAATATATTTGTATTTGAATTTGTAATTTGAAATGCCTGTCTTTCGTTTTGATTTAAGTGCAAAGCGTGACAATTCTGCAGTAAAGAACACCAGTCTATTTTGCATTAGCTTTGAATGTAATTAACAAGCTTTTCATAATGTTTTTTGAATCAATTTACAAAGTACAGGGGTGAATATCTCATTTCATCAATCTTCAAACCGTTGTTTCCCATAAGGGCTGTGAGCCCTTTTGTGTGTGTGTGTGTGTGTGTGTATCCATTATGAAATGCTTATTAATTATATCCCAAGCTAATGTAAGAATAGATTTCAAAAATGCCAGTTCAGCGAAACTTCTACACTTGACTCACTATCGCAACCTGAACAGATCTACTTAGAAGTATGTCCCGTTGATTTCAGTTGCACTTAACCCCAAGAAAGTGGGTTAAACGTTTCCAAATGTTTCCTATCTTTCCTTCACTTTCTGCCTCCAAAAGAGAAGAGGAAAGGGCAGGGAGGGGCTCCCCATGCCTGATCTAAATACAACAAAGTGATCCTTTTGATAGGATTTTGATCAGATCTATTAAGATTCTTATGCCTCTACATTTCATAAAACCTTTCAAGAAAGCTAACCAATTCAAAATATATGTATTTTTAAATATTCTGAGTATTTGATTTAAAAAGTGTAAGTATAGAATTTTGAAGAAAAAAGTAATGTATCAATTCCAACCCCACTTGGTAGGTTGGCTAATTACACATCTCACTGGAAACAACTTACTCACATACTTCTAGTCCATCATGTGTCTCCAATATCTCTACTATATATAAGTATTTTTTTCACTCTGTTAAAAAAAAGCATGTCTGCTTGTTATCTGATACGCCTGTGTAAGTGTCTTCAGGTTCCCTGTTGGCTTATGACAACCCTATTAATTTCATAGAGGTTTCTTAGTGTTTTTTGCCAGTTCCTTCCTCAAATGTAACCAACACTGCCTGATATTCATTGGCGGTTTCCTACCTGTGTACTTACTCTCTTTAGCTTCTAAGATCAGAGAGGATCTGGTGCCTTTAAGGAGAATGTTGAGCAAGCTTGATCTCCTGCAGAAAGTAGTGCCGAAATCTTGTCAGATCAGATGTAGCGTGGTCCTTTTGAGCCACACCAAATACGTAAATCTGTCATTAGAGAAAATGTTTATTTTATCATGTAAGAATCTTACGGAGAAGGTGGAAGAAACAGTTAAAACCTTTCTCTGCTTGTTTTAAACTCTAAGGCTCTGGAAAATTGGTATCACAAAAATGTCTGGAAGTCCAAAGAGGCTATAAAAATGGTGTGAGACACCTCACTGGAATACCTTTCTCCTTCTAGCATTCTTTTTTGTAGGCAGCTTTTGCACATTAAAAATTTAATGTATCTTCCACTCATGTCAACGTTGCTATATAATTGACTTCTTGTAAAATACTGGCTCCAGTCAATAGGCCTATTAAACAACCCATTGCGACTTCAGTTATTTTATTTTAAGTAATTACATGGTTGAAGTGGAAAATACCTATCTTCTTTCCCAGTCAGCACTATTTCTCGTTTTGTTGCAGTCTTGAAACAAAATCTCTCAGAGGAGAAACAAATCCAAATGTTTATGGTGTAAAACTTTTCAAGTTTTGGATTTTCAAGCACCACTTTCACAAGAGTTGTTATGTCTACCTAAGGTATTGTCAAGCACCCTGGAGGGGCTTTATTAAGCTGCAATTTCAGTAGTAAATAAGATTTTGGACCACTCCCTAAAATGTCATTTCAGCACATAGTGAGATAATACCAGAGATTCTTAGGCATCTGTTCAAAGGAAATCTCACAGTAAAAGAGACTGGGCTAAATTCATGGGAAATACACAAAAATGTGCACTGCAGGTTTAAAGGTTAAAGATTCTAAATACACTTGTTCCTACATATTTTCTGAGTAAGCCAGAAGCGGTATTCATCTTCAGGCCTAAACATATAGAGCAACATTTCTCAATCTAGGGGTTGGGAACCCCTCGGGGGGAAGGGTGTCAACAGTATTTTCTGTTGGTCATGGGGGTTCAGTTTAGCCCAATTCTATCATTGGTGGGGGTCAGAATGCTCTGAGTGTAGGTGAACTATAAAAACCAGCAACTACAACTCCCAAATGTTAAGTCTATTTTCCCTAAACACCTCCAGTGTTCACATTTGGGTATATTGCGTATTCCTGCCAATTTTGGTCAAGATCCATCATTGCTTAAGTCCACTGTGCTCTCTGGATGTAGGTGATCTACAACTCCAAAACTCAAGGTCAGAACCCACCAAACCTTTCCAGTATTTTATGTTGATCATGGGAGTTCTGTGTGCCAAGTTTGGTTCAATTCCATCATTGGTGGAATTCAGAATGCTCTTTGATTGTAGGTGAACTATAAATCCCAGCAACTACAACTCCCAAACAACAAACTAAATTCGCCCCCCCCCAACCCCACTAGTATTCAAATTTGGGTATATCAGGTATTTGTGCCAAATTTGGTCCAGTGAATGAAAATACGTTCTGCATATCAGATATTTACATTATGATTCATAACAGTAGCAAAATTAGAGTTATGAAATCACAACAAAATAATTTTATGGTTGGGGGTCACCACAACATGAAGAACTGTATTAAGGGGTCGTGGCACTGGGAAGGTTGAGAACCACTGATATAGAGATTGCTAAAGGAACTCACTACTCTCTTCCTGCAGAGTGGCCTGTTAGCTTCACACTAGATAAAGGTTTGAGCTTTCAAGGATGTCTTTGTGTTTTTAAATGGAGAGCCAGATTTTGGATAGTTATTGGCTTGTCAGAATAGACAGAAGTGTGCTAGGTAGACCAGTGGTCTAGGTTGTCAAGTTTGTCAGGTTTTAATCCCCAGCATAATTCTTTGAATCGTAGACTTGGAAGGGATCACAGCATCCATGTAGTTTAGCCACTAGTTTCCCATCCAGAAATACAAATCTAAGTACTTGATAATAATGAAAAAGCCATGCCCAATAAACGCCTTTCTATATAATGCTGATGGTAGAGTTGTTTACCCAGTAACTGTCCTTGGCAGACTTTCCCACAGACAAGTTTTCCAAAATACAGGCTGAAGCAGGAGCTAATAAAACATGTCTAAACAGTAGAACATGAATGCCGGTGCCAGTGGTGTTTCCCCTTGAGGTGGCTTCAACAGATTAGATGTGAGATTATACTGTTAATCTCCTTTGAAATGTACCTCCACTGGTCCTGTTTCTGCCACTTCTACCATTGCTCTCACAGCACTGTAAGTTTATGTCTTGTTTGTTTGCTTCCCCTTTCACTTATACAGCATAGCACACTGCTTCTTAAATTATGGGTTCTGAGCTCAAATGGGGTCCCCTTAGCTCAAAGCTGATCATGAAGAAATTGGCAACAGTAATAATAATAATAATAATAATAATAACAATAATGATAATGATAATAATTTTATTTTTTTACCTCGCCTACATCTCCCCGAAGGGACTCGTGGCGGCATACATGTGGACAAGCCCAACAACATAATTAAAATAGCACATTAAAATTCAATAACAGCATCATAAAACAATATAAAACAACCAGATACATAACACAATATAAAAACAACGAACAACAACCGTTTCTGATCTTGGACAGGTGGGCTGATGCAATCAATTGTGATGAGAGGCCTAATGGATAAAGTGCAAATACCAGATGATAAAATTAGTGATAGCTTACATGGGGACAAGCCCAACAACATAATTAAACGCTAAATTGTTTCTGAACACCACCATTTACACAAATCTGTTAGCAACAACATACAGTGTTTTCTGTGAACTCTATAGAAGATGCTTCTGCTGTACTCCACAAAAAGGACTATCAGCCTGTTCAGCAAGCCTTGCAAATGCTGATTTATTATCAGGAAATATTTGATTTTTGTACTTATTTTATATATCTATATACCCAGGATCAAATAAACATTTCTCAAGCAGAAAGGATTTGCAAGTGGTGAAAAGTTTAAGAAGCCCTGGTATAACAGAAGTATATATATAGAAGTTTTTTATATAGAAACTATAGGCGAAGTAGTTAACAGGGCCAACTATTGGTCCATCTACTTCAGAATAGTCTACCCAGCAGTAGCAAACTTCAGGCTTGCAGGATATATTTTGGGTTTACCAAACACAATCATTGTCTAGTTCAGAATTCTGCTTGGTCTGTAATGCCAGCTAACTCTAGGTTATGCCCATGCTTGTATTTTTCACATGCTTGCATAAAGAAGTATCCAATATCGCCTTATATAGCAGTTCCCTACTTGCCCTCTTTACAGTGGCCTGGCTTCAACACTGCTCTGGCATATGGGTACCATTCTGTTCATTATCACCCTGTGGCCTGCAATACGAAATAGAAAAGGTACCAGAAAGCCTTGGAATGGCCATCAAAACTTCAACTCTACCAACATTACCCGGACTCTCAACAGTTGAATTGTAAAAGGCTTAAGAAACCTTAAAGAGACTCCAGGGTCCTTTTGCATTAAATGAAAAACTCTACTCCTAGTTGCTCTAAGCTTGTTTACTTGCTTTCTAATCACCTAGTACTGATGAACAAGTGGGAGTCAGAAATCTGCTAACAAATCCAAGCATACTTTCTGATCACCCCTAGTTGATCCTGACAGATTTTAACACACTTTCCAGGATTTTAAACAGGATTGAACCTTAATTATTCAGGGTTTCCATTGCCATCACCATCTACTGAGGCTGAAAAGGAGTAACATGCCCAGGAAAGAGAGACTGTCCAGTGGGACAAACAGGGCTTTGCTCTGTGTCGAGGGCAGAGTGTCTGCGCAACTCCATGAAATCCAGGACCATTTCAGAGCATGTCTGCTTGAGGCAGCCCCAGATTATGGCGAACATGCATATGAGTCCTAAATCTCATGGCAATTAAAAGATTAGGCATATGCTTTTGTGAATTGCAGCCCATTTCATCAGGTGCATCTTATTTTTAATGGCACAAGCATTCACCTTTACAATTCTGGTACAGAGTAAAACAATTCTTCCCTGCTCATAAACATTCTCGTTATTGCTGACCTTCCATTAGATATACCCAGATAATCTCCATCCAGGCAAATTAAAAAACAAATTTGCAATTACTTAAATGTGACCCCGTGAAAATTCCAGTAAATAATGAGAAAATAAAAATTTCCTGGTATTTGCAAGTGCAGCATTAATGGACTTTACAATAACCAAGCATCTAAGGCCAGAAAACACAGGATCACATAAGCCAGGATATTTCAGTCACTGTTGAACCTTGTTTTTGAAGGAAAATATAACACAGTTACTGTGTCTCAAAAATCAGTTTTATTGGTTAAAAACATACATAAAATGTTCTTGAAATTCGGAGATATTGTTGACAGTTCTTCAGATGATAGTATCATAAAAGGTTTGCTTGTAGCTGCAGTTCAGTGTGAATACTGCAACAAAATGAGACTCTGAGGAACGAAAAAGGCCCATCTTCCTGGATGAGGGTTAAAAGTGGAAAACAAAGCAAAAAGTATCATACTTTCCCCACCAGAACTGTTTGTTAACTGCAACAAACTTTGACAGTGTCTTTGAGCAGGAATGAGGAACACCTACCAGCAGATTCACAATCTGCTATGCTGGGTGGAGATTGCATCTGTAGCGGATATCAGAAGGTCTTCCAGATAATTGTGGGCGCAACTTCCAGCATTCCTCACCACATTGACTAGGGCTGCTGGGGCATACAGTCCAAGAACTGAAGGCCAAGCCTTACACTTAAAATGAGAGTTTCTGTACCTTCAAGCTCTCTATCAATTCATGTTAAGATTTTTGTATTGTTTTCTTAGACAATGAATACTAAGACGTAGTTTACCATTCATCTGAGATATAGCATCAGCAGTACCTTGTATTCCTCAGTGGTCCCCACATACAAGTACTAACCAGGTATGAACCTGTTTGGCTTCCAAAATCAGATGGAATCTTGGGCCTCCTGAGTTATTCGACTGGGGATATAGCCACTCAGCTGATTTTCAGACCCCAGTGATAATAGCTATCACTGATGCTTTTGGTCAAGTCCGTCAGACATAATGTTTAAGAAACACCTCCTTTTGGAGCTCTTGTGTCTGCATCTTATACATTTCAATATGAATCATTCTGCATTGGGTTGGACCACAGATGACTCAGCCTAAATACATAGCCAGACGATATGATTAGTAAGGCTATTTTGCTAAATGTGTGGCCTTCAGGTATTTGCACTGGGAGTCCACTCAGAAGTAAAAGAGATGGAACAATAAATATTAACTCAAACTATTTCAGAGAATCTAGAAAGAAAATCAGTAATAGAAGTGAAATGTTTGGGATGGATCTTGGAAGTGTACATAGCCTTGAAGCTATCAGAAGGAGAAGGGGAGGACAATTCTATGGATACCCTTTGTGACTCTGGTGTGCAGCAGTAACATATGCTTTCTTTATATTTTTATCAACA